AAAAAATGAAAAGCTGGCTGTGGTGGTGCACACCTGTAATCCCAGCACTCAGGAGGCTGAGGCAGGAGTATCACTGTGAGTTTGAGGCCAGCCTGGGCTACATATCCAGAACCTGTCTTTAAAGAAAGGGGGGTGGGCTAATGATGTGACTCAGGGCGAAGGCCTTGTGTTCTGTCCCCAGTGTGTGTGTGGCAAAGCAGCTAAGAAACAAGGTCAGAAGTTTTTCTCACCTGAGTTTTACCAGAAGTCAGCTGAGTCAGCGGCAGGGAGGCAGCTGAGATTGCCTGGCGGGTAACAATGCCCAAACTAACATGGATTAAGAGGTTCTTGGATGACAGCCTAACTGGGCCTGCAGGTGGGTTCTGCTCACCTGTTGCCTTTTCAGCTTGAAGTAATTACCAGACTTCCGGGATGAGAGGTTCCCCACAACAAACGAGAACCTGGGGTTAACATTTCCTTCCATTTTAATCACTTGAAAGAGCTCCAGGAACTGTGCATAATGTATTAGACAGCACAGAACCTGACGCAAAATAAAGTCCAGGGTGGATTTCTGACCCTTCCCTCAGCTGCATGTCACAACTGGCCACTCGCCCGTACAGCCCTGGAGAGGACGTGCTGCTGTGGGTGCAGGAGAGACACAGGTGTGTACAGCGGCAAGGGTGACAGATATACTTTGGTGAACTTAAATAAATAAAGGTCTGGGGTGGAGCTCAGCGGTAGAGCGCTTGCCTAGTATGTGTGAACCGCGTTCCAGCCCCTGCACTGAAAAGAAGCGAAAAGAAGAGGGAGGGCAGCGGAGGGAGGAAAGGAAAGAACCACTTTCAAGAAGGCAGTTTTACTTTGGGCATATGAAATGCTTTCCTGAGGCCAGGGAAAGAGGCTGGGCACGGGGTGGGGGGAACAGACGTGAGGCAGGTGCGATGGGGACGTCTTGGAAGGGACACACGGGGCTGCGGCGCCGGGCCACCGCAACCATTAGTACAGCGTCTCGCGCGCGTGGGTCCGCAGATGGCGCAGCAGGTGCGAGTTGCGGCTGAAGCCCCGGCCGCACTGCGCGCAGGAGTAGGGCCGGGCCCCGGTGTGCACCAGGAGGTGGCGCAGCAGGTTGCAGCTGCGGCTAAAGGTCTTGCCGCACTCGTGACACTCCTGCGGGGCCTCCCCCTCCTGCGCCCGCCCTGCGTGGGTGACCAGGTGGCGCTGCAGGTGGGCGTTTCTCCGGAAGCTGCGGCCGCAGGTCGGGCAGCTGTATGGCCGCTCCCCGGTGTGGCTGCGGAGGTGGCGGGCCAGGTTGGAGCTGTTGCGGAAGCGGTGGCCGCAGGTGTCGCAGGCGTGGGGCTTCTCCCCGGTGTGGATGCGCTGGTGGCGCGCGAGGTGGGCGCTCTGGGTGAAGCACTCCCCGCACTCGCCGCAGCGGCACGGCTTCTCCCCGGTGTGGCTGCGCAGGTGGCGGGCCAGGTCCTGGGTCTGGGTGAAGCTCTTGCCGCACTGGGCGCAGCGGTGCGGCCGCGGG